TACGAGCAGAGCTTGAGAATGCTGCATCAGATGTGTCAAACCTGTTCTCTAAAATTGGTTAGTATTATTCTCCAGTTGTTTTCTTGTGGGTTGATATCAATTGGAGAAGTACATGCCTCTGACATTAAGGGTTTGTTTACCCATAAATTGCCTTTTTAACCTTTAGAGCGGAAAGATAAAATTGAAGAAGGAAATAGAGTACTTATCCAGAAATTCCAGTCTCAGTTAGCTCAACAGCTTGAAGTTTTGCACAAGACTGTTTCAGCATCTGTAATGCATCAAGAGCAGCAACTAAAGGTCATGGAGGAAGATATGCAATCTTTCGTATCAACAAAAGCAGAGGTGAATTTTAAAAGAAGACAATTATGTTTGTTAGCTATACTTGAATTTTCAGATTTACTAACTTCGTTTTGCTATGCTTCTGAAGGCTACCGAACATCTTAGAGTAAGGGTAGAAAAGTTGAAAAACATGCATGGTTCTGGTATTAAATCTTTGGACACTTTAGCAGAGGAGCTTAAAGGAAATAATCAGTTAACTTATGAAGGCTTGAAATCTGAAGTAGCCAAACACTCATCTGCCTTAGAGGATGTAAGTGGTCTATTATTACCATTTAAAATTTGATTCTAAGTAATCTTTCTTGCCGTGTTAACCTATTTTTTGTGCTTCAGCTTTTTAAAGGTATTGCCTTAGAAGCTGATTCATTACTGAGTGCTCTTCAAAGCAGTCTCCACAACCAGGAGGCTAATTTAACTGCTTATGCTCATCAGCAACGAGAGGTGGGTGATTTTTAGTTTGTTTCTTGAAATTTAGAGTTAGGGTTGCTAAATTTTCTGCAATTGCATGCAGGCACATACCAGAGCAGTTGAGACTACACGTGCAGTATCTAAAATAACAGTGAACTTCTTTGAGACTGTAGATAGGCATGCATCAAGTCTGACCGAAATTGTGGAAGAAGCACAATTTGTTAATGATCAGAAACTGTATGAACTTGAAAAGAAATTTGAGGTGACTGCAATGCCCTTTTTTATAATTACATAAACCACGATCACAGACTTTTTCTACTCGTTTTGCCTATTTAACTTTGACACGTCACATTTTCTTTTTTTACCTTTGATGCATCTCATTTTCTTATTTAGGAGTGTACTGCTTATGAAGAAAAGCAACTATTGGAGAAAGTGGCAGAAATGCTAGCAAGTTCAAATTCTAGAAAGAAAAAATTGGTAGCTCTTGCTTTTAAATGTGTTAATTTTTTACCTCTACTGTTTCCCCTGAGTACCTGAACTAACCATTCATTTCTTAATTATTAGGTTCAATTGGCAGTAAATGATCTTAGGGAAAGTGCAAACAGTAGAACCAGTAAACTCCGGCAAGAAGCATTAACCATGCAGGATTCTACTTCTTCTGTCAAGGAAGAATGGAGAGTTCACATTGAAAAGACAGAGTCCAACTACCATGATGACACTTCTGCTGTAGAATCTGGAAAGAAAGACCTTGTGGAGGTTCTTCAAACCTGGTATGTACTAAAGCCTATTTTGTCTCCATTACATTCTCTTCTATTTACTGAGCCATGTGCTGAACAAACAACTGCAGCATGAACAAGGCAGAGGTAGGTTCACAACAATGGAAGAATGCTCAAGAGTCCTTGCTAAGTTTAGAGAAGAGAAATGCTGCTTCTGTGGATACTATTATCAGGTAGGTTTTGTATTCTCTATTAAGACCATAACGTTGAATGTCAAACTGTCAATACATTTTGTTAACCTTTTTTCCATTGTTTTCTGTCTAGGGGGGGAATGGTAGCTAATCAAGTTCTACGTGCTCGATTCTCAAGTGCTGTGTCAACTACACTTGAAGATGCAGGAATAGCAAACAAGGATATCAACTCATCCATTGACTGTTAGTATTAAGTCTCATGCATGTGTATCATTACTGCATCGGTAACCATCAATGTCAACTGATAAGTTATAATAACACTTGCAGATTCGTTGCAACTCGATCATGAAGCTTGTGGAAATCTGAACTCTGTGATTGTCCCATGCTGCGGTGATTTGAGAGAACTGAAGGGTGGTCATTACCACAAAATTGTAGAGATAACAGAGAATGCAGGAAACTGTCTTCTCAATGAATACATGGTAAGACATTTAAAGCATCAATTCTATATAGGATGTATTAGATTACTAGGTTCTATTCAGCCAATTTTCATTAAACTTTGGTTACTACTTACTAGGTTCTAATCTCATATGTTTAAATAAATTACCATGTGACATACAGGTTGATGAACCATCTTGTTCTACACCAAGAAAGAGACCCTTCAATTTACCCAGCGTTTCATCCTTAGAAGAACTTAGAACCCCTTCATTTGAGGAACTATTGAAGTCATTCTGGGATGCAAAATTTCAACGACAAGCAAATGGAGATGTCAAACATATTGGGGCATATGAAGCCACTCAATCCGTAAGAGATTCCAGAGCTCCTCTTACTACGATTAACTAGGACACTTGAAATTTTGTAAATAGCATATTATTGTTCAGATGTAATTCCATAAAATGCTATATTCATTTGTTGTTTTACAAATTTTTTGGGGGGAGATGGAGGAAAAAGAGAAGGTCAATCGTTGTGGAGGCAGGAATGGACAAAAGGGTTATTTTTTTAGTTTGGTTAAGAACTTATATATTATTGATGTAGGCTGAGATTGGTACTTAAGATGATTTTAGACGTGTTTGCATTTAATCATGACTATTAATAAGCACAAAAATTGATTTGAGCTCACATTACTCGCTACAAAACCACGTCACCAAAGTGAACAATCTAGTGATAAGTGCAATTCTGTTAGTCCACGACCACGAACATATTTTGAAACTTGGCAATTTCCCCTAGTTAATCGTCATGCATGGTGGATATATTTTAAGTATCTGAATTACAAATTTTTGGTGGAAACCAATTTGATTAGAATGCTTCATCTGAACGACCGAATTTTCTCAATTTTATGACAGAACAGAAGTAGAAAAGATTGAGAAATAAAACCATCCGATTAGATTTCTCAATAGCTATAGGATGATCTTCTTAGGTGAATCCTTTTGTCGGATGCTCCTATTAAACTCATGATAGATTTGTATTTCATTTTTTTTATTCTCCAGAATACTCACAAATAAACGAAAAAAATGTGAGCTCAAATCAATTTCAATGATCATAAATGTATGTTAAAAACAGTTCATAGTAAGAACCAAAATATCTAAAAAATTAGTAATAAAAAGGACATATATAACTAATTTGATTGACATTTAGAATCTTTGAGCAGTAATTTAGATTTTCAAATTTTTTAATGAGAATTAGTACACAATTATTTTATTAAAAATAATATTTCACTCTTTTAATATCTTGAGGATCTTCTGACCGCTGTTTCATAATAATCCAACATAACATGGTAGGGGTTGTTCTATTTAGTGGAATGTCCAAATTCGTCTACGGAAATCATTTCCATCCTAACCTCTTCTTCTAGTAGCAAAACAACAGGAATGGATTAACACAGTAGTGATTTTGAACTCTCACTCTTTCCAACACAGTAGTGAAGTTGAGGTTTGATTAACTGGCTTCACGTTTAACGATCTCGTATGAATGAACTAGTACGTACAATAACGACCATAGAAGCCAAGTTAAGAAGAGTAATTAGATATTGAGAGACCCAAAAGGTATTATTTAATACTTATGGGATGTAGTTATGTAAAGCCATGAATGATGTGCAACAAGATGGTAATATATTCTATTTTATCTTCCTCATTAAATCAGTATACAAAGATACTGCCCTCGCATTATATACAACCACCATCACCCAACTCCTTTAACTTTGATGCGGATGGACTAAAAGCCTGCACAAACATGCATATCTTTGTATAAGTCAAAGGTATTAAATACATGCTTCCAATCACTAAAATTTCCTTTAATATAAAAAGAAAGCAAAATAGTGTAATATTTGAGAACTACATCATAAAACAAAAAACAAAGCATTTCCTGTCATACATCTTTGTTCAAATTTTCAACCATTATATTTTCTATAACATTTTGCTCGTGCCTCACCTTCTACACTTCATCTCACTTCTTATCTATTTCTTCATGTTATGTTATGTCATGTCACCAATCACATCTATCACACTCTCCATTTTTACCCATCTCTTCCCTACCCCATTTCTACATCTTCAAAAAAGAGAGTGTAGAACAGACATTTTCCTAGAACTTGAGTTATCAAAACAATCCGAGCTAGCTTCTCTATTGTCTGTATGATTCTTATGCTATGCCATAAGCAAAGGTTTTATGATATATAATTCTACAATGATCTAAAGAACTACCTGAAATTTTCTTCACAATAAGCTTGTACTTTGTCATCCAGCGGGCCTTTCTCTCTCAACGGATTCATCATCAAAATCTTCATTAGTTGAATTTTCTTGGCATATCTCCTGAGGAGGATTTAAACCAAGAGCCTCCCAAGCCATTGAATTACCGTCACAAACATTGGCATCTTCAGAAGCATAATTGACATCAACAGGGTCCTGAGCTTGATTGACATCAACAAGGTCCTGAGCTTGATTGACATCAACAAGGTCCTCAGCATTATTTAGCCTTGTATCATTAGACAAATGTTCCATTTTGTTATCTTTGTTGATGACCGGTGGATCATTATTTAGCCTTGTATCATTAGACAAATCAAATCCACTTTGCTCCCAAGACCCAGGCTGAGCAACGGTTGCTGTTCCTTGATCAGATTGATCTGCAGCATCTTTTTTCGGCCTCTTCCATTTCTTTGTAGACGAAGTGCCATCATCCTCAAAATCTTCTTCTTCTCTTTCTCTGTGTAAGTAAACCCACAATTTCCTTTCCCCATCAAATTGTACACAAGGGTCACGTTCATAATGCAATCTATCCAAGGCCCCACTAACTACTTGGTTAATTTGTGCATCAGAAACATCTTCAACAATATATTGAGAATCCCGAATTAATGTACAAACATCTGCTCTAGTGCCAATACTTCCAGGCAACCTAGCAGCCGCATCTCGGACAAGACAGAGAATTGTTACATGTGGTGGACGATCACGTTTCAACATAAAATGGTCTCGGGCTTTTGATGTTGGCTTACCACCGCACCTTCTCAAAGGCGCCACAATAGATTTTTTACCATCAGTCGCGATATACGAAAATGCTCTGTCAGGAATTGAGTATCTGAGAAATTCTTCCTTGCGGAAATAGGCCCTTACTTCCTCTGAACTTGGGCTTATAGTGTTCAGACTCTTCTGGGCCCTAAGGTCTCTAAACCTCTCTTTCTCATCAAGGTTTAGTTGCATCAATGCCAAAGGTGGCTCGGGAAGACTTCCTATTTGCTGAAGAGTTTCTTGACCACATTTCAACCAATTGGCGAAGGAATCTACTAACTTCACAAGCATCTTATGAGGAAGACTCCAAGCTTCCGGAGATGTCACCTCTTCGATGGTATCATGATCAGATGAATTATGTAAAACTGGGCCAGCCCATGACCAACTTCTGGTAGACTTTTCATAAGCTGTTAGAGCCTTCCAACCCTTTGCTCCTAATGGTGCCGTTTTGGAAGAAAATATCTTCAGAACACCTCTGACCAAATCCTGTAGTGGCTCCTGTGTCTCAAGAATACAAGGATCACCAGGGTTTGATCTGACACGATTAACAATCTCTTGAATAGTAAGGGATGGCATATTAAGTTGGTTAGCATCAGGATCACAATTGCCAACTACCTTGTCATAAGAAGGAATACCATTGACACTGCCTTCCTGTGCTTTATTCTCCTCTTCCCTGGGTTTCCCAACCTCTAAACTTTCATCTATAAGTGGGCTAATCATTGCTGTGCGGACTGCTGAAATAAGATGTATAATAGAAAATGAAAACCCGGTATGAACAGTAGGTGTGATCAAAGTAAATTGCTTTTTCTGTGGCTTGGCTTCGAGCTCAACGTCTGCCATCCCCATATCAGTAATAGGCAGTTCAGAATTTTCAATTTCTGAAATAACCATCCCAACCTCCGCTTTTTTCTTTGACTTTCTTTTCAAGGAAGTTGAATCATTTTGGGGAACAGTGTTTGACAGAAGATTGGCATCTTTGTCACCTCCACCAAGATCTACTGCTTCATCCTTCACTTTCCGCTTCTTCATTGCTGAGTTGCAGCCAAGTAGTGGTGCCTCGGACCTTTCACTTTGATCATCCTTATATGCAACATATTTCTGCCGTTTTCTCTTAGACTTACTCTGTCCAACCCCACTATCATCCACCAGCAACTGTTTTTCTAATGAGACATCCTTACCAACAACAAAATCATGCAAATATTTTGGACTCGGAATGGAATGATCAAGGCCAGTTTTCCCCTTTTTCTTGCGCTCAGCAACATAAGCATTTGACAAGGGCATGCCCAACCTTTCAACAAGTTCACCTTGCATTCGGCGATTCTTGCCTAACCATACCTGTCTCCGATCATCATCACCATCACTAAGTATATCTGAACCTGTGGGATAGCTCTCTTCCATAATTTTACCAGTTGGGTTGCGCAAAGGACCGTAATTGTGTATTTTACCCTTCTGCTTTCCTTTTGAAAGATGATTTTCTACACCATGCATATGTCCTTGATCTTTAAAGCCCCTCTTCTTTTTGGATTGGGTTAATGCACATGCCTTGACATCTTTCCTGACAAACGTGGTCTTCTTAGGATCTAGGTGAGACTTCAATGATTTTTTGCGAGAACCATCGGCAGAACCCATGAAGTAAGCAAATTTGCTCTGCAACAAAGGATTGTCATCATCATCATCATCGTCACCATTCATCTGCTCTGATGAGTCTGATTCAGTTTCTTCACCTCTTACAAACATCTGGTTATCCCTCAAAGCCTTGGTAGATTTCCCTCCGTTCGGTATAAAAGACCCCCTGATTTTCTCTTGCAATGATTTTGTCCTGAAGTCAGAGGATGGAAATCTATCACTCACCTGTGTCGAGGAAGATCTATAAGCTGTGTAACTGAGATCAGGAGAGTCTCTCCCAGGTTTCCATTTGTTACTGCCTGGATTCCAGTCATCATATTTAGAAGTTGAATCCATGCCATAATCCTCTCCTGGTGTTCTGTTGTTGTAGAAAAGTTCATTATAATCTGGTTTGTCAACCAGATTGTCCTTAAATGGCATCTGTGAACTCCGCAATCTAAACCCTATCTGATCACTACCTCTCTTAGAAGATGACTTTGCTGTGAACATTTTCATATCTGAAGATTGGTTTGAATTTCTATTGTATCCATGTAGTAGCTCACCCTTCGTAGTCACGGGCAGACCCATCAAGTTATCAGTATCTACTTCGTCACCTCTCAGAAGGTCATGCCTCTTTCCTATCCTCAGAACACCGGACTTGTCTATCAGGTTGTTGCGTAAACGGTCTCGATATTCTGACAATGTCTTTAAACCAGCCAACCTGAGTATTCCTTTTGTGTTTTGCTTTCCATACTTTTGTTGTTCCATATCCCTTGGACTTTGCTGACGTGGGTCAAATTCTAAACCAGAACCCACCCCATCGAAAGGAAAGTGACTTATTTTTTGCACAGCTTTCGTATCCTTGTTCTTCCTACTCCACATACCATCATCAGACTCCTCATCTGAAGAACCAACATTCAAATCTTCCATTTTCTCATGCATCAAACTCTTTTGACTTTTCATAATGTTCAAAACACGGAGCCTTTCTTCGATACTGTATCCCCGGCAGTTAAACCAAGCATCTCTTATCTGACAAAGGTTGCTAACCATGTTGTTCTGATGCTTCCTCAACAGATGATAATGTTGCCGCTTCTGAAAGAAACTCAAGCCCTCCCTGTAAAGTGAAACTCTTGGTTCACACAAACCACCCTTCAGCATTTGAAACAACTTCTTAATTGGACTCCCAAAATGCAAGTTGCAACCAGTAAACAGCTCCTTCAAGGTTCGAACAAAATTCTCTTTATCCATATCAGGCAGATACTTGGCAAGTTCAAACCTCTCCTCTTCGCTCAAGCATTCATTCCACACATCAATCGACAATATATCTTCGATACCAGGAAGGTCATACAATTCCAGTGGAATACTGCAAGTCTGATTCCCAATCTGACAAAACTCTGCGCTGGTTTCACCCAATTCCAGCAAATCAAAATCATCAGACCCAGCCCCAGAATCTGCATCATCAAACTCATCATCATCATCTGATTCAACTGCTGAGTTATGGCGCCGGACCTCATCATCATCACTAGACATAGTTTCTCTACTTCTGAGTGAACACACGGAATCAAGCCTCTTCACCTTAAAGTTATCGTTTTCAATTGCCATCAAACATAACCACACCAAATACTATAGCAATTTCTAAAAATTGAACACTCCACGAACAAATCTCAATCAAAACCCTATAAAATCAATAACAACAAATTACAACAAAAAAATTAAATTTTTTAAAACTTTCCTAATAAAAAAACAATAATACTTAAACCCAGATAAACATTAAACAAAACCGATATAAAAAAATCGAAAATGAATGCAAATGATAAGAATCGATGAGATATGGATGTAGAAGAATACCAGATTAATCGAGAGAGAATAAGACACAGTGATGAAATAGAGAAAAGTAATTGTAAAGCATGGCGATAGAAAAAGAAATTTGGTGAAAGAGATTGTGGCGGTTGAAGTGAGAAATCAGAGAAACGAACCCTAAAACGAAGAAGATAAAGAAGGGTGAGAGAGGGAGAAAGGGAATGTTTGAAGGAGAATAATGAAAATGATGATGACGTGGGAAAAGAGGAACCGTGTGATTGAAAGTGTAGGTGATGGGGGAAGTGTGAAAAGACGAAAAGGGACATCGCACCAAAGTGAAAGGAAGATGAAATGAACGAGACAACGCAGAGAAACAAAAGTTAGAAAGAGGAGACGAGTGAGAGAGAGAAGGTGAGTCAGCAAAACGAGTCACTGAGTGAGACCGTTGAGTTGTAACTCGACCTGGCCCCACACCGTTTCCAACTCTTGATCGTTGGATCCACTTGCCTCATCGAGATTCACCACTACAACCTTTGAATAAAATAAGAATAAATTACAACCTCCTAAATTTCAATGAAATTACACAAATCATTTTTTCTTTCTTTGCATTTATACCAACTACTAGTGGAAACAGGTTAGGTTATGTCAGACTTTGCCTTAAACAGGTTCAGCCTATATAACACATAGAAGCCTAGGCCTCACCTGTTAGCCTGTTTAAAAAAATTTCAAAGCCTAGGCCTCACCTGTTAGCCTGTTTAAAGGCATGCTAAGGTTAAAAAATTAAAAAATTAAAAAAAGTATGTACAAGCTAGAAAAAAATGTATTATAATTATAGCAATTAGTGTGAATTTTTTACATTGTTATCACAATTATTTCCATCATCTTCCAATGTTACCTAATGTATTAGAAGGATTTGTGGTGCCTTTGAGGTTAGAATATACAAAACAATGTCTTTTAATATCATAGTAAAATATGATATTATTCTAATATTTAACATAAGTTGAGTTATGTACTTAAACTCAAATCTCAACAATTAAATATCCAAATATCAAATAGTTTAATCTCTAAGTCCTAGTGGATTTACATAATTTTTTTATTATTTAATTTTTTGAACATGTTATAAAAATAATTTATAAATATATAATAACATTAATAAGTCAGCCTGTTAGGCTTAATAGGATTTTTAGAAGGCGTGAGCCTTGCCTATTTCGGTTAAATAGGCTTTTGGAGAAGCATAAGCCTGACCTGTTTACTAAAAAGGTCTGGTCTGGCCTGACCTGTCATAGGTCAAGTAATAGGCCCTGATAGGCGGTCTGGTCTGTTTCCACCCTTACCAACTACCCCTCCATTCTACACAAATCATCCATAGTTTTATCATATTACAGTGACTATCCCTACCTCTTATAAAAGATAATATTTTAAAGAAAAAACGTGTGATGAATGTAATTAAGTTAAACAAAATATTGTATATTGTATAACACTTCAAATAGTACAAAAGTCAGTGTTTCTTTATTATTTTTGTGTCATTACAAAATACATTAATAATTTCAAATAAATGTTTAAATAACTCTTATATTATTTTATAACGAGTCAAATAATGAAGACGCATTAACTCTTATATTATTTGAGTTTGTCTACACAATATACAATATTTTGTTTAATTAATTACACACGTCACACATTTTTGTTTAAAATAATACACTTTCATATCATATAGGGGTAGTAAGTATAACATATGTACAAAATTAGGGGTGATTCGTGTAATGACAAAAAAGAAGGGTTGGTTTGTGTAATTTATCTAAAACTCAGGGTGTGAGTGTAATTTACTCATAAAATAATTAATTTTAGTTTTTGCTTTCACCTAACTTCAATAAAAAGATTCCAAATTTTGTCTCTAGAGAAAAAAAAATCTTCATAAAAGTAAATGATGATTAAATTATATTTTTTAGCAAAAATTTTCGGATATCTTAATCTTTATTTAATACTAATTTATCGATATTTCAACTTTTTAAATATCAAATTGAGGTTCAAAATAAATCTCTATG